CTATCCATCTTCTATCCGCCTCCCTCTCTCCCTATTTATTTCAGAACGCCCTTCCCTTCCCCCTTTTCTGATGAAGGGTCTAGGCCCGAAACGTCAGCCTTCCTGCTCCTATGATGCTGCTTGGCCTGCTGTGTTCATCCAACTCTACACCTTGTTATCTCAGATCCTCCAGCATCTGCAGTTCCTACTATCTTTGGTCTATGCAGTAGCTGTTCTTCAGGTGGAAACTGGGGGTGGAAGGGGGTGCAAAAGGGACTTCATGGCATAATTTTCTATGTACCATCTGCAACAAGCTTTGCCTCTTGCTTATGTTAATATGGGTCCTAACAATTACTTAAGGAATTCCTGCAAAAGGTTCTACCACTTACTTCAACAAGACTCAAAGCAGAAGTATGATTGTTACTAGTTTCAAACTTGAGGTCACGTGATGACAGGACTTCAGTAGAAACATATATACACTTTTGCATATCACAGTTAAAACATACTCAGGAATGGAGAAATTTCACAGGATTGATGCTAAAGACATTCTCCATTTGGTTACTTTCCAGACAGTACTGCTGGAGAAAAGAAATTGCCCAAATTCCACTGCACAGCACGAGTAATCCAGAACATATTAATATGAAAATTATAGTTTAGCAGCTTGAATTAATTTTCATAAAGGCACGGAACAAGTTTCTTTTAAATTACATTGCATTGTCTCTCTTTGGCTGGAATGTTTTCTGAACACCATGAGGTCATCTACCTGAACAGAGATCATAGACTCATAGAATCCCTACAGTTATATTGGGGAGGAAATGGCCTAGTGGTATTATCATTGGACTGTTAATCCAGAGACCCAGATAACATTCTGGAGACCCGAGTTCGAATCCCACCACGGCAGGTGGTTTTAAAAAAAAAAATCTGGAATTAAGAATCTAATGATGACCATGAATCCATTGCCGATTGTTGGAAAAACCCATCTGGTTCACTCACGTCCCTTTAAGGAAGGAAACTGCCATCCTTGCCTGGCTTGGCCTACATATGACTCCAGACCCAGAGCTAAGTGCCCTCTGGGCAATTAGGGATGGGCAATAAATGCTGTCTTTTCAGCGATGCCCTCATCCTGTGAATTTTAAAAAGTGTGGAAGCAGGCCATTTGTTCCATCAAGTCTACACTGACACTCCAAAGAGCATCCCACCTAGACCCACCCCCTACCCTATCCCTGTAACTCTGCATTTCCCATGGCTAATCCATCTAACATCCTTGGTTACTTTGGGCAATTTAGCTTGGCCAATCCACCTAACCTGAACATCTTTGGACTGTGGGAGGAAACTGGAGCAAACCCATGTGGAAAACCCAGGAGATCTGGGAAACGGTATCCCAAATCAGTTGATTCTCCTCAAAAAGCACATTTGACTTCTGATAAATAGGTAGAGGATGAAAGATGCGAGATCCAAAAACCATGCCTTCTCTGGCTTTAACAAGCAAAAGAATTGACAGGAACATAAAATTGTTTTGATTTATTAACAGGGGGTTTGCTTCTTAAATTAACCATATAATTTATGTAATCAGACACAAATCTCCATTCAATCTTCCTCACCCAAACTTCTGAATGGCATTATTAAGGAACAATAAATAACAGATATTGCTAGAGAAATTTATCAGGTCTGACAGCACCTGTGGAGAGAGAAACACAGTTAACATTTCGAGTCTAGTGACCTTTCTTCAGAACTGATAGCTAGGAAAAGATGTTATTGATGCTGATGACAGGGGTGGTGGAGTGGAAAAGGAGTGAGCAGAAGGTGATGGCTCTGCATTTAGCATTTAGTGGCAGGCAACTGGAAGCTCAGGACAGAATATAGGTGTTCTGCAAAGCGGCAGACAGTGTTTCATCTCCCACCCCTACAATGTAGAAGAGACCGTGAGGAGCATGTCACTTCAACACATCACACCACATTTCCATGCCAACATTTCAGTCTCAGGTCTGCTGCAGTGCTCCAGTGGGACTCAACTCAACAGCAACACTTCATCTTACATTTGGGAAATTACAGCCTTCTGGAGTCAATGTCAAGTTTAATAATTTTAGACCATGAACACTACCTTCCATGTTGATGACCAATCTCCCACATCGCAGGGCTTGTCATGATGTGGGTTGCTTCCAGCACTGCCATTTTTGCCCACTCATCGCCCCCATTTATCACTTACTTAGTAAGCCAGGGCAGAAGAGAAGCTATCAATAATCCTTTTCGCCTGCCTAATTTTGTTGTCTCTTTTTTTTTTTCTGAGATCAATCTCTACCTATCAGCACACCCTCTCTCCCATCACCAGCCTGTCCACCAACCCCACACACATGTACCCATCATCAGCATCAATACTCTGTTTCCTAGTTGCTACCATTTCTTAAAAAAAAACATACTAAACCAGGAATGTTAACTCTTTTTTTTAAACTCTTGACAGATTCTGCCAGACCTGCTGAGTTTCTCCATCAATTTCTGTTTTTGCGTGTTTCAGATCTCCAGCATTCACAGTTCTTTGTTTCATTATAATAAGTAAGTTGGACTAAAATTTTAAAAAGGGGTTAACAGTGACCAAACCATTTGGGAAACAGTAGAACGATGATAATGAGATTTCCTTACCTGACAAAATAGTACTAAACAGCCAAACAGAGATCTACAAACTTGCATATTAGTCATACTGTTCTCGAACACTTTCAAGCTATGATAAAAAAAACCCCCAAAAGATTACATTGTCTATAGAGAACCAAACTCAGAGTTGTTGAAATGACAGGAAAAGGAAGCAAGCTGTCAGATACTGTGACAATCAAGGCTATGACTCATATATGGTCCCCCAGCACAAATAAAACCCTCATTTTTTTTTAAAAAGCTGGTGATTTACTGATGTGACACAATTATTCAATCCATGATAATCGCATCATGTTTTTTAACATCCTGATGCAGAACTAATTAAAATTGAAAGATCTGATTAGTTTAATTAATAGCAACGTTCAAGCAAAAACAATAAAATAAATCCTGGTAATATATTTTCCATTTGGAATCAAAATTTCTGATGATTATGGACATCAGCATCACCTGCCTTTGTAAAAAGTTGTTTAAACCTCCACTTATCAAAGTACTTCGACTTTGTACTGAAATATTATCCTTTACAGAGCAACTATAGTTTGCATTCTGAAACTAATGGAAATGTTCATATATACAGCAATTAACTTATAAAACTCAGCAACTTTTCAAGAACAAAATAAATGTAAGCAAATTGTTAAAAGCAGCTTTCAGACAAATCCTTATGGAGAGCAAACCTTAATGGTTCATTACAGTGGACTTGCAATTATTTGAATCACCTGGGTGATTCAGAATGTGTGGATAATTAAGAGGCTGCTTTACAAAAAGCGCACAGTAAAGGCAGCAAATTTTTACTGGGGGGACAAATTGTTTTTGCAGCACCCTTTGTGTGTATCAGTCAATATTAAGCTTTAATTTCATTCAAAGACATTTGTTGATTTACACTTCTACAAAGGTTCTAGGGAATGGATTCAATTAAAAATATCCCATCTATTTCAGTTTTAAGTAACAGACAATTTACACTGCAATAATTCGTCATCCCTAATTAAGAAAATATTACATAATAATCCAGCAGGATAATATTTTCAGAATGTCAAATCTAATTTGTTGATTTCTATTCTTGATTCCAAAATAAAACTCTGACATCAGAAGCATAATGCACAGGATTAGTACCTGCATGTATACAGTACAAATAGGTCCCATTGGGACTTTTAAGATTAGTATTTTCCTTCCAGACACTGGCTGGAATTAATGAGAATACCTGCAACTATACTGGCGAGCTGCTGAGTGCGAGTGATGGGATAGATGCTGCGTGCCTGTGCGATGGCTGCAGCTATTTTCTTTGCATGCCTTTCTTCTCCGTAGATCCTCAAGATGGACGCAAGTGACTGTTGATCTAAGGCATTCACCACGTCAGCTGCGGTGGGCACGTCAGGGTACCTACGCACAAGAGGAGCCAATTAATTTCTTTGACGTCATTTTCATTGACAGAGGTGAAGCTTCACAGCACAGAGAGACGGAGCTGAAATGCACACGGCATACAAGAATTTTTGAGGTTCTTTTTGGCAACAGATAGTTTAAAAAAAGATATTTCACAGTGCATCTTCATCTTCATCTTCAGATGAAAACCTAATTAAAACTACTTTAGTTGAAGTCACAGAATATTAAATCAGAATTCTAATTTTGACCCATTGCCAGGAATGTATGAAAATCAATAGATGTCAGAAATTTTAACCTCCTGTTCTTTTAACAAAAATATATGCTGTACTTAGTCAAAAGTAACTGAACCCCAGTCTAAAAATAAGTTTGCTGTGTGGAGCAGAGCTCTCTTTATTGTCTGCTTACAAATTTAGAAGACAGATCAGTCAGTTTTATGTATCGAATGAAATAGAAATTTAACGACTCCTATATGGAATAATTCATATGTACAAAATGACTTTGTTTTCACAAATTTATCTTGAAAAACAAAGGTATATAGTTCAACCTTCTGGCATTTAATAAGCAATATCGATTCCATATAATTTAGGAAATTAATCTTATAATGATTAATAGGTTATTTTCAAGAACAAGGATTGAAATGCTTTAGCTGTTCGTAATTTCAATTTGAATTCCTGGTAGAAAATACATGTTCAGACTGACTTCCATCAGTTTCCATCACACAACTCATGTCAACTTAGATACAAATTATTGATAAGCCAAATCATGCAGATGCAATCTTATTGACACTATTTCATCTTCAACAGTTTGCAATTTGCTGATTTTGGATCAAATGTAGCATAGTTTAAAACAATAAGAGTTCTGTTCTCTATTTGTAAGACTAAAAAAAAAGTGTGCTCTATATGATTTTTGATCTCCCTAGCACAAATCATTTTAGAGACAAACCAGCGGAACTCTGACACATGTTTTTAGTTGTCTCAAATATAAAATGAAACTGTGAGCGGCATCTTGACATTTGAGGGTTAGAAGGCAATGTACTGCCTACAAAATGAGGAGAAACACTATAAGCGAATTTGTGGAATATGGGATCAAGATCCTCTATGCCAATTGATCACAGGATTGACTGATGATGATAATACAGCAAAGACCCAACCCAAATAGAGTTTTAAACTTGATGTTCTGACAAGGATTACATGATTTATCATGTTCTGCTATTTTGACTGGTTTGTCTGATGCTGTAAATTGTTCAACGGAGTCCAGTTCAAAAGACCATCCTCCCCAAGAAAAACACTGAATGCAGCTTTCTCTTCTGGATTCAAAGTGCTGCATATTTGTTCACTTCTGGACCTCAGTGGAGGAAGTAAATCTGTAAAGCTGTACTCTATTGTATCAAGATTCACCTTTGAACCAAAATTAATTGTGAAACATCTAATTTCAAATGGATTGGTATCTAATCTATAAGCACAGAGAACTGCATGTGCATTCCTGACAATTTTTGCTAAGATTGTGTGCCTTTCATCTAGATCTATACAGTTGACTACTATGATCATCAAGAAGTAAACAATCTGAGTGCTTTAAAACTGATGGCAGCGCAGATCTTTCAAATCTGTCACAACTGTACTGCTGTCTATTCTAACTCACAAAACATATTCAGTTCAGTGCATCAATTTGCAATGCATGAATGTATGGGACAGACCCGCAAGTACCAGAGACTTCCAATTATTTCAGGAACAACAACCAGTTTTAGGTTTTGAGTACGTGGGGAAAATTTAAAGAACTATACAGAGATTCAGAATTCCAAATACGTCGAGTGACTGAAAACATAAAAGAGAAGGGCAGAAGGTTTTATTTCAAACAGCTACTAAAACTTGAATTTATTAACACAAGTAGGGTACTGAAGCCGATTCACTCTTATTTGAAAGGGATTTGATAAACACAAAGAAAAATATCGAGGCCACGGAGCAGAAGAGGAAAGTTAGGTTTCAGTAATTCTGTTCCATTGTGGAATTTTCAGTGACACAGACAGGATGAACTGAAGTGCTGGTCAGGGGTAGGAAGGTTTCTTTCTGTATTTAAATTTCAACAAGTACCAAAACAAAATCATATTTCCTCTATTATATCCCTGTTAGTTCTAACCACCCAAAAACCCTGAACTGCACCAAACAGTCCTCTGGAAAAAAAAACATCAAGGTTTATTTTCATAACAAATTTCAAAGTTTAGCTGAGGGAATCTAATTGGATAAATTTGAATTAATCGAAATTCAGTTACAATCATCAGATAGTAGGAAATATTGGCATGTTTATTAACTTCAGAGGATCCTGTATTGTTAAAGTGCATTAAGTTCAAATTGGATAAGCAATTTTCAAAGCCAATAACATAATAACAACAACAATCTGTAGAATCCATAAAAAATTATATTTGACAAGTGCAAGCGCAGTATTGCGATGCTGCTGCTTGAAGCCAAGATGCTTTACTAAAAAAAACAAATATTCAACATTTTCCTTATTGCTAAGAAATTGAATTAAGAAAATGGCATTACTTTCTATTCACGCTATGCCCGAAAATAGCTAGCAGTAAGCTCTTAATTCAGACACTCTTGTCTGCTTTCAAGTCCGGCAGATATATTATATGATAGAACCATGTTTCCTGCAATCACTGCCTACAGAAGAAGGATTAACTGGATTATTCATGTCAGTTCTTATGATTCAATATAAAACAGTTTTGCCATGAGGACAACTGCAGTTTCTGTACAAACCTGTCCCCATCCATTCTCATGTCAAGTGGGCCATCTTTGCTTAATGCAAACCCTCGCCATGGGACATCTAATTGCATAGAGGAGCAGCCTGCATCTATGACAACTCCATCAAAAGTGTCTGTATCCACGCCCGATGCCACTAACAAGCTGTCCAGCTGGCTGAATCTTCCAAGAAGAGGTTGAATACGACCACTGAAAGAAAGAAGTCACAATGAGAAAAATATATTCTTTGCAATAGTATTGAGGACAATTATGATGAGAAATTCTGTAACGTCCTTCGGTCAAATGTCGGAAGATACAGAACTCCTTAACATATTTAAGGGCTATCAAACCAAGCTACTGAGAAAACTATACAGTTATAATTTCTGTCTGCTTGATATCAAATATACATTTTTCTTCAGTGGGGTCATTCTTCTTCAGAAGAGCATGAGCTCTGAAGAGTCATATTGGAATCAAAACATTAACTATTTCTCTGTCCAAAGATACTACCAAACCTGCAGAGCTTCTTCATCACATTGACTTTTTATTACTGTTGAGCATTTTTTGTTTGTCTAGCTAGATATAATGATATAATTAGCTAGTTTGTTATTTGAAGCAGTCTTGACACTACCGCATCTGTATTCCACTCCATCTTCAGGTGCAGTTATTGACATTGTCATGGAGTACTTCAGATCTATCTTCAGGTGTCTGATTACAGAGCCAACTACAGAGGGATAACTTGGTTCCACTGCCAAGCACGTCGTCTTGTAGCCAACTGATTTACCTCCCCCAAGAAGACTGCCACTAGTTGGCAACATGAAAACTGAAAAGAGTAGACTTGAGTCAGCATGAGATAAACTGAAGCTGATATTGAAATGTTTTTAATAAAACACATACTAATTTATAATTTCACATCACTAAAGCAGATAATATGGTCATTACTGCATTGCTTTTTGCAGGAGCTGGCTGTCTGCAAATTGGTTTCATGCATTTGCTACATCATAATGTTGACTTTCCTTCAAAAACTACTTCAGTAACTCTAAAGGACATTGAGATATCCTCAGGTTGGGAAAGATGCTGAATAATTGCACATCATTTTCACATAGTTACAAATTCTTTGAACCAATTCTATCAAAGAACAGTGACTGGAGATCGTTCACAAAGAATTTGTCCAACAGGATCCACAAAGTTATTCTGTTAACTGGTCAGATGTTAAATCTATATCTGTATAGCATCAAAGAAAGAAACACAAACAAAAGAAAGCCTGCAAAAAGTTAGCATGAGTTCTTTACCATTCCTTAAATGGATCAATAGAAAAGCAAACTCCACAACAGAATAAGTAATTCTTAGGAAAAAAACCCACCAATTTGTAAGAAGTGTTTGCTTTCCAGCTTCCAAGCTGTTGGTTATTTTTCCACCCACTTTCTGGACTATGTCATGACTTACTAGGGTAGTGCACTGAAATCAAACTTCATTGTCCCTGGGTCATCACAACAGTGAAAAGGTTTCATCAAGCAATTCAATCTCCCCAATTTACCTAGCAAACTCTGGTTAATACAAAACACTCACCAGATTTCCATTTGTAACAAGAAATAACTGTTTATAACAAACAAATTATTTTCAACCAATGGCAATTAGGAAATATGAATTACTCACTTATAATTTTACAACTTAAACTCAACACTTTTTAAACTCCCCTTCGCAAACAGACAGACACACAAAGAAAGACAATAAAAGAATATTAAAAGTGGTCAAAGGAAAAAAAGATCATGGAAACACAGTTCAATAGCACCAGCCTGGACCATACGATTCAATGAGTTGCTTTCTTTTTCGTCCTTTTAATTCCTTTATAGTTCTTTGCTGTTGACTCAAGGCTATTTGCACATTAGTGTTCTCTTTGATCACTGGTTGAAATTTTGTCCTTTCACAGTCTTTAAAGAGGTCTTACTCGTTCTTTGACAGTAGATTTGCAGAGAAAGCTAAGTGGAAGACAACTAGCTATTATTGTAAAATTTCTGGTACCTCACACAAGCTCTTTCCACGCTCGGTCATTCTCTGCTTCACTGGTTCCACACAAATCAGGAGCACCTGGTCAGAAGCCAATCAGAACACTGTTGTTAAGTAGCTTTCCCTTAATTTAGAGCCCATCAACTCCATGGTGTCTGCTTCTGCGCTCTCTGTTCCAGGAAAAGCGCAACATTGTATACAACTCGCAACACCCATTAACCATGATTTTAATAATTACAGTCATCTCTTTGCACAGTCTCCTTGGTTTAAAGGAATATCTTTTAGTCCATAGTCCAAAAGTAAGGCAATAAAAAGATGTAACCTTTAAACGTATTAGATCCTAGCAGAGGCTTACATACCCTATACTTAGCCAATAGCACATTATGAAAAATGTAGGAGCGTGTGCTGTAGTTCAAGTGCTTCCTAAGGCTTTAAATTTTGTCTGTCTTCAATTATGGTACTGGCTGAAGCTGCTCTGTGATCTCCTACGCTTTTCACACTGATTCTCTGCTTGGTAGATTCTCCAGTGAGTGGATCCTGAACTTGCCGCAATTTCAGCTTCACAGACATAATTCAGTTCCCAGGTCTGCACTCAAATCCACAGAATCCCACAATATGAATGTGCCTGATTCTGTCATTGTAAACTGTTACCAGTGAATATTGCTGAGACAGTCAGAAGTATTCCATTAAACAATGGCCCTATTAAGAATGAAATATTACCATTAACAGAATTAATAGTTTCAGCATAACAACTTACATATACAGTTGATTCCATAGAACTATTCAAAGAAGGGCAGGGAAGTTCTCTCTGGTTTTCTGGCCCATAGACATGGCAGCCAACTAACATCACTAAAAACGACAGGACAGTCATGATGATGGAAACAAACCTCCCGAAATTCATCTCCTTGGTTTCCGAAATTACAATGGTAACTATACATCACATCTACTTCATTGGCAGTAAAGTGATTTGGTATATCTTGGAGTTGTTTAAAAAAAGGTGATTCTTTTGTTAATTTCAATATACAATAGGTATTCCAAGGAAAATTTATTCAAATCACCATCTGACAATTCTGGAACGAACAAAATAGGAAATAGGAGATAACAAAACTATCCAATGCAAACCTTTGTCAACTTCGCTGCCAAAGTATACATTGATATAATTAATTCAGAGAGACAAAAGAGAAGCTTTTTAATTTAGAGTTTTAAAAAACCTCTTCAAGAAAAATAAGACTTATCAGTGATTGAAGATCCGTGCTCGTGAGATCTTTTTGTCTTTGAGCACCTTTTCAAACTGCAGCGTTCTATAGATGTCATACACCGCAGGGATTCTATGATTCTATAAATCAAAAGCACATTTACAAATGTAGCTGATAAATCCTGCGCTGTGGTGCAGGCATTTTTTATTTTTTAGAAAAAGTCTGATGTTAATTTATTGATGCATTTTGAGGACTATAAATTAAATCAGTTCATGTGATGTCAATTAAGTCCCAGCAGGCAGGATTTCGCAGCTTCAGAAGAACACTTTAAATCTGCGACAATTAAAAGGTAGGTAAAAGAAGATGGAATTATACAAAAAGACTGCTTCGTAAATTATTTGGGAAATATATGCCATATTATCTCTTTCACTCTAGTCCCAAAGTAATTTGTTATCTTTCAGTCTTCTTTATGGTATGTCAGTTATGATCAGATATTATTTAAATTGGTTTTAAATTTTTTTCAAAATTGAAACAAAGGTATAATGCCATGAGTTAGGACAGACAAACTAGCTTACTGTGCTGAAAGTGTCATAATTCAATTTTCCTGCTGTAATTAATTCTTTACTAGTCAGAACAAAAAGTCCTAACTTCCCTTACTTTTGTTCCTCAACACTTTGAGTTTATAACATACACATTTGTTGTTAGCTAATGAGAACTCACTAACTTATCTAGTTAATTTTTCTCTAATCAGTGCAAGTGTCCTGTGTTATAGGGCTTGAACTAAGTCACTTGAGAACTCCGTTCACTCGAACGGAACAGTCTTTGAAAACAATGTCAATGGTGCACCAACTCTCATGATCTTTGCAGAATTTATTGGGAATTCTTGTACCAAATCCAACAGCTAAAACAACAGAATGCCAAAACTAACACTTAGAACATAAATTCAGCAACAAACTTCTGAATATCACATTTCCACCAGTCTTGAGCAAGAGACTGCTTTACATAAAACGTCCATGCAATATCCCAAAGTCTACTGGTGCCAAACAATACACATGGAAAGAAATTAAAATATTTTACCACTCAATCTTGTATAGTACACATTGCATTCCATAATGCATACAAATGACAATCTTTATTCAGCATTGTAAGCCAGTGAAAGTCAAAATAATTGATCAGGAGAAAGGCACATTAACGAACATTAACATTACAATAAGAAACATTATTGCCCAGACTTCCGCTCCCATGTTGGGTGTGCTGAGATGGGTGAAATTTCGGCTGTTTCGTCCAGGCTTTTAAGACTAGCTACCTGGATGTCGGATTTTCAGTATAAGGGAGTAGCCTGGATTAGAAATAAGAGTGGTTGATCCAGGAAGAACAGGAGATGCTGCTGGGTGAAGAAGCAGCTGGCTGGAAGGCCTGCCCCGGGGATCCAGAACTCTGTTTGAAGTTTAAAAGTAAATAATAAAGCTTGAACCGTTCCTCCAGCCCTCATATTCCCAGGTACTCCCAACACATGCCAACCCATGCAATTTCATGCTCCCATGCAACAACTGGATCTTCATAACCTCCTTAGCAAACCTATGCACCTCCACTCATTCCCAAGGATATTTATATGCCAACTGACTGACAACCTATGCCTTACATCCATCCATCACAATCTGCCCTGAGACTGACCATGCCAATTCACCTAGTATCTACCATGGACAGAATTTGACTCATGCAAAGATGAGAAAACTGAAGTTTGACAATAAAATTTCGAAGTGTGCATTGTAAACTTCAAACTTCCTTACAATGACAAAAACACTAATTCCTAAATAACCGTTTGCTAAATTTACATTCCTTCATCTAAATAATGTAATTCAAACATGTAATTCAAATGCATAATCCCTTATAAACAGCAAGCACTGGAATTCATAGCTCCACTTTGAAGAGTCTATAACTACTGGTAGCTGTGAATCAAACCGTGTGAAATAGCAGTTACTGTGGTAAAAAAGAGGGTTGTAGAATCAG